GAGCATTAGATGGATTTCGTGAATTTTATAGCAGCGCCGGGATCAAAACATTTACCCAAGGGTCTTCATTCAAAAAGAGTTTAGCAGGTATGAATGGTAGCTAGAAAGAAACGAGCAGCAGGATATTATCTCCAGAATGAATTGCAGAAGTGAATCCTTCTTGGTAAATTCATGTTTAGGGAATTTAAGTGAAAGAATCAAAACGGTCTTTGATTGAATACCTATTAAAGACGGTATTTAATCGAGTCGATAATGCGGCATCCGGCAAAAGAAACATATTTTACCGGAACAGGAGAAAAGTTCGAGATTTGTAACGCATGAACAGCCCATTTGGGAATGGCAATTTTAGCAAAATTTGGAGAGTAAGTCTCAAAAAATATATGGGGACCAGCGGTATGCATAAGCGGAAGAGATAAATGGCAGCTCTACCGTAATAGGGCACAATGTTCTTAAGAATTACAAATACGGTTGCTTTGCTGTCGTTATTTGTTGAGAACATCACCTTGCCGTTTGAATATGCCAAACGTCTCTCGTTTATAATATCCGCCTTATCAGCTTTTCAACGTTTGTTATAAAACACCGTGTACTGCATCGCAGAAAGGAATAGTCTTCTCCAAAAGCAGGTCGATCCAACTTGCGTGCTGGCGTCCTGGTCGACGTCTGTCGTATTTTGACTTCCAGGCGAAACGTTTACAGGCTAGAGTAAATGGTGTATGCTCAATCAGTTTATCTAATAGAGCAAACCTCCTTTTCGTAATCTCCACGTTTACCAACGTCACCTGTGCACGGAAGAGAATAGAGTATTTTATTATGTGGTCCTGGCGTTTAGCCCTCGCTGTTGTACGCAGTTTAACCGTAGTTTTACTCCTTCATTGCAAAAACTTGCTTAATTGCCGTACAACAACACTGACCTGACAGAGGGGGAAGAGTAGTGTCTTTCTCGGCCTAAATAATGTATAGGCTTCCTTATGCACTCAAGGCTAATTTGATCCTCCTATTATATTCTGGCTGAAGATGACGAACGCGTGATACTCAATTTTGAACCTTCTGAGCAGCTTCACCCATCTGTTCAGTTTTCTTGAGTTTGACTGTGGATCTTTGTTCTTTGACTGGTGGTGTTCCCTGTTTCTCCTGTGTAATATCTCCCGCAGTTACACGGCAGCTTGTAATCCTAGCCGAGAGTTGCTCTTCTCAGAATTGCATAATGACGCAATAAGTATTTGAGTTTTTATATATAGCATTGATATTGTATTTAGTATTAAGTAATCTTTATAACTTTTTACTAAATGATTTATGATAATTAGGTAATTAAGTAAAGTCTATTATTTGGAATGTTACTGTTCACATTATAGGTGTCAAAAGTTGAATTACAGTAAGTTATTCTACGTTTTCTGGTATTACTAACGAATTTGAATGGATAATTAATGGTTAATACACATAT